CTTCAAGTTCATGGTAATCAACTGTTAAAAACATACTGTTCACATTTTTTTTTTTCAATAAATGGATGTTTTACAAAGTAAATGGATAATCGTTTTTAATAATCGTGATATCAATTATTGACCAACATAATCGAGATTAGGATTTTTGCCATAATCGAGCAGCCCTTGTACACATAGTGGTGCTATGTGACATCATGTGAAGCCTAAATGAACTCTATGATATGAATCAGATCAGTTTAAACTTCATTCATTTTGATAAAATCAGATCTCTTATCTTCAGAAGGTATTGAGGTTGTGTGATGATTTCTTCAAACGCCACCAGAGGCGACGCTTTCATCTGCTCAGCTTTGAGGTTGCATGAGAAGTGACAGTATTGGGTTAGACGTGCTGACTGGAGGAGACCTCTCCAAAGGCACAAAAACATATTTTTGGGAATTACAGATTTGTTTCAACGTCTTTTCAAAATGAGTCTATGTCTGTTAAAGTTTCAACTATGGATGCAACTGATGATTAACAATCGAGGACAATTCGACTCCACCATCCAAAACCTTTTCCAACAATGTGCAGAACACCGGATGATTGAACCACTCTTTAAAGATCTGGGAAAATACTAGGACTCCTTTTAGACATTATTATAATCCTGTTACCGAAAAATATCTTATAATATATATATATATATATAATAAATATATATAATTATTCAACATCATTATTTTTGGTAATAATGTGTTTTATGCAAAGTGGATTGCCGTTACCTCCACTTCATTTTTCAAATTGTAATCCTGAATGAATTAAAATAATTAACAGTCTGGGGTACAGCTGGATAAAGAAGGTTTTCTTTTGCACATCACGAATTCACTAGTCATTTTTTTTAAATCCAAGACACCACTTCTTTTGTCCACCTGTTACAGCAGATACAGTAATTGTATGCAGACTGTAGAGCAACAAAAGGACAGAGGTAAATTAGACCAGAAAATAATGACACTGAAAGTGAACAATCATTTAATATATTAACTCCACAGCATTGGAAAAGCCAGGAGGCACACATTCAAATCACGCTGTTCAGAAGCAACGCATAAATGTACCCCTAATGCATCTTCCTCTAACACACTGAGTGTCTGCTGGAGAAAGGTTTATTGGCTTTTAGTTGAATCCACTACAACATTTATAGCAATCATAAACCAGTGTTGCCTATTTCAAAAAGCTGCTAAGCATTAACCAGACACTGGTTTGTGTTGGGGTCATTTTGTTCACATAATAGTGACATATAATCATTTCTGTCTTGATTATAGGAAGCAAATGCAGTGTTGATATAAGGTCAATCAAAAGAGGTGTTACATACGACAGGTCCTATCTTCCTTCTGTATTTATCTGAGTCCAGATCAATAAGGCCAGTACAACAGATTAGATCTTTAAGTGAAAGCCTTATAAGGTCAATGCCGAGTATATTCTTCAGAAGGCAAGGAGGGAAATCTCCACTGAGTGAGAGCTGATGTGAGGCGCTGAGCTCTCTGTGAGTCAACGTGCTGCGGGGGGGCGTCAGTGGAGCTGAATGAAGGGGCAGTGGGCGGTGCAGAGTAATGTTATCGATCTGAGAGGCTGCGGGCGTCCTGGAGTCAAGCTACGCCATCGACATTTCATGCATCAGCCCAACTGGCTTTGGAGTATCGAGCACTCACCCTCTCACACACACACACACACACACACATATATATATATATACACAGAGAGCTCTGCAATGAGCCTGCATTTTTCATGAGGAATCAAAAAATGAATATTTCATCCAGGTGTGTAATGTAAATTCAATTATGCAGTTGTTCTTTGATATGCTTTCCTTTGAGGCAGTTTCAATAAGACGACGATGAAACGAAAGCAAGGCTTCCAACCGCCTCGCCTGTCAATAAATACACTCATGTTACACTGGTGTGACACGAGGGCTCAGACAACACCGTGTATCATCTTCAGCTTTGTGGGTGACGAAATACAATGAAAAGACAAAGGAAAGGGATTTTTTTTTAATCCTCTTTTTAGTGACAATCAATCATTTGATGAGGAGGTTTATGATAGGCTTTAAATAAAGATGCCTATTTGTGGACAGAAAATGAAAAAGTGAAATCAGTATTCTGAAACCCTATAAATATTGGCTGCATTAACTACTGATTGCTTTGTATTACATCCATAATCTGACTGCCCTGAATAACCATTGGAAGACCATTTCTGTAAGATTTTCTGCCAGATTCCCTTTCGCAACACTTTCCCAAAACCCCCATGAAACATGGCTGTGGAAAAAGAAAACCTATTCTGAGCCGACGGTCGCTGCCAAAATAAACAACAAAACAAGCCTCGGCGACACACACACAGCATGAGCCACTTTCTTCATTTACATCATTTAGATACACCCCCACCCCCCTCTACTCAGGGTCTAATTTTAGTTCCTTGGACCTTTTTTAATGCTTGAAAGCCAGAATTGTCTGGGTTTCAAAATGTAGCATTCAGTCGCCTAGCAACTACGGTCTCTCCGAGGCTTGTCAGATGAAGGCGGGTCGCACCGTCTCCATCTTGTTAAGCACTGAGGGGATGAAGAGAGAGAGAAAGAGAAAGAGCTCGGGGCTGGACGTTACTGTGCAATCCCCCAGATAATAACCCCCCCCCCCCCC